TACAGCCTTGAGTATGGATTATACCCCATCATAAAGAAAACAAAAATCCTTACACCTGGACCAGTAAGCCAACAGCATGATAAAAAGAGAAAATATTGAAGTTTTCAAAGATTTCATTTTACTTGGATCTGCGATCAATGCCCATGGAAGCAGCAGTCAAGAAATCAAACAATGTATTGCACTGGGCAAATCTGTTGTAAAAGACCTCTTGAAAGTGTTAAAAATCAATGATGTCATTTTGAAGACCAAGATACACTTGACCTAAGCCTCATATGCATGGAAAATCTGGACAGTGAATAAGATGGACTGAGAAGGAATTAATGCCTTTGAATATGGTGTTGGTGAAGAATATTTAATGTACCATGAACTGCCAAAAGAATGAACAAATTTGTCTTGGAAGAAATGCTTCTTAGAAGGGATGATGATGAGACTTCATCTCATGTACTTTGGACATGTTATCAGGAGGGACCAGTTCCTGGAGAAGGACATCATGTTTGGTAAAGTGGAGAAGGTCAGCGAAAAAGAGGAAGACCTTTAACAAGATGGATTGATTCAGTGGCTTCAACATTGGGCTTAAACATAGCAACAATTGTGGGATGGCGCAGGACCAGGCGTGTATCATTCTGTTTTGCATATGGTTACTATGAATCAGAAATGATTTGATGGTACCTAAAACAACAACGGTCTTTTACAGAAGCAGATTGTCAGGTCTTTTCTCCCCAAGAGCTACTGGATAGGTTCAAACCTCTGACCTTTCAGTTTACAGCTAAACCCAACCCTTAAACATTGCACCACCAGGGCCCCTTTCTAACTACTGTTGTATATTCCATTTTGATTATACCCTCTTTTCCCACCTGCTGATACTTAATTTTCATCTTTTCACTTTGCAAACTCTTTTGCAGTGGACATGTTCATGGGTCCCCTTGTGCATGTTTGTAAGAATCTTTCTAGGAGTAATTCCTGGAGGTGGAACTGTTTTATCTTAGGTTGTCTGCATTTTCACTTCTACTGAAACTGGAACTGCTGTGCCCACTCAGGGTCCCAGCAGCAGCACGTGTAGGAACACCTGTTTCCCCACACTCTCACCAGTCCCTCAGACGTAACCATTTTTGCCTACCATTTGCTAGGTAGGAAATGGTACCTCTTATTTAAATTTCATTTCCCTGATTACTAGTGTGGGTGAGCATTTCATCCTATATTCATTGGCAGAGCTTGTTCTAACCCCCTTAAAGAACCCTTTCCCCTCTGTCACCTCTTCCAAGAGGAAGATTTAGGAGTGAGTATTAGGCTCCTGCCTCTGTTGTGGCCAGGGTAAGTGAGGGTCACATGCATGTTTGTGGCATCCCTCTTGCTCCTCTTAGTCTGGTGGGAACACAGGTCTCTAAACAGTGCTTTTTGCTTTCAGGGTTTACTGTTTGGAAATGCGTGAAGAGCGGCAAGACCGGCTGCGGTTTATTGACAAACAACTGGAGCTCTTGGCTCAAGACTACAAACTGCGAATTAAGCAGATTACAGAGGAAGTGGAAAGACAGGTGAGTGACAAGAGGAAGCCCCTTTGGGGAGATTTGGACTCAGAGTGGGTCCAAGGTGCTGGAAAGGTGAAAGCAGATGTCCTCATCTTCAGGAGCTTCTCAGCCTTCCAGAAGGCAGTTGTGGCCCTGACTCAAGAACATAGAGCCTCCATTTTGGTTCCCTTGTCCCATTGTGTGACCCTGGGCAAGTCCTCCCTTCTTTGGGCCTCCTCCTTCATACCTACTTGAGTGTTTGGTCAGCTGATCAGTAAAGTCCCATCTACCTCAAAAAGTTTCATTTCCTCAGATCAGCTAAGGAAGCCACTGGTTTGAAAGGAAGGATTTACAGTCTATTTTCCTGGTGCTTCCAGAAACACTTTGCTCCTTGGTACCTGATGGCTGCCTCCTTTGCTGTAGGTGTCGACTGCGATGGCAGAGGAGATCAGGCGTCTTTCTGTGCTGGTGGACGATTACCAGATGGATTTTCACCCTTCTCCCGTGGTTCTCAAGGTTTATAAGAACGTGAGTGGGTCAGGTGCTCTCACAGGGATCCATCTTCATTTTTTTGAGCTGTTGGGTGGACTTGCCATGCAGACAGCTAGGGCCCTTCAGCAGTGGAAGTGGAAGCCAGGGAGGCGAGATTGGGCCTTCTAGGTCATCTGGTGGGCTTGATCACCCTCAGGATCTGCCTGTCCTTTGGCTGGGATAGGGGATGGTGTTCCTTTTCTTCACCTGTCTTCTCTTGTGGCAGGAGCTGCACCGCCATATAGAGGAGGGATTGGGCCGGAACATGTCGGACCGCTGTTCCACGGCCATCACTAACTCCCTGCAAACCATGCAGCAGGAAATGATTGGTCAGTGCCACAGGGAAGTGGGTACCTGGGGCCCTGGGGCTGCTCAGAGTTCAAATCTGGAGGTCAAGCTAAAGAAATAACTTTTCTTTATCTGTCAGCCTTTTAGGATGATTCAACTCAGTACCTTCAGGTTCTGGGTATAAGTCATGAATTATTTCTGTCCATAGACCTGGGGAACCATCTTTTGTTACCACGTGGGGCTATGATAGGTTGAGAATTTGGCCTGTTTCTTAAACCCACATGAAGTGTATGTAAATGCTTGGCAGGTTGGAACCTTGACCTGTGTAGGCCTGGGGGCCTGGGTGTGGTACCTGTGAAGAGCTGCCTGGGCCCTGGTGCCTGAGGCATAGTGCTAGTGTGGCAGCAGGCTGAGCTGAGGTGCTTTCTCCCTGTTTCTGTCCCCTGCAGATGGCTTGAAGCCCCTACTCCCTGTGTCTGTGCGGAGCCAAATAGATATGCTGGTTCCTCGGCAGTGCTTCTCCCTCAGCTATGACCTGAACTGTGATAAGCTGTGTGCTGACTTTCAGGAGGACATCGAGTTCCATTTTTCTCTCGGGTGGACCATGCTCGTGAATAGGTTCCTGGGCCCCAAGAACAGCCGTCGGGCCTTGATGGGCTACAACGACCAGGCAAGCAATGCTGCTTACTCTCGGGGCATTGAGGGAGGTCACGGGTCTCCACTCACCTCCAGACATAGGAACCATTCTGAAAGAGGCTGGGGGGACCTAAGGTGAGCAACAGTCACAGTGTGTGCACTGCCATGCAGTAAGCCACAGGCAAGATGTTTGCCACAGGTAAATGTGGTGTTACCCTAAGCAGTTGTATTTGTGCAATAACAAATGTTAGCTGTGTTTTTTCTAGTACACATTAAAATAATTATTGATTTCTTACACATAGATGACTTCTAAATTATCCATATATATGTTGTTAAGAAGGAGCTCTGGTAGCATAGTGCCTAGGGCACTTGACTGCTAACCAGAAGGCTGGCAGTTCAAACCCACCAGCCACTCCTCAGAAGGAAGACTGGGCAATCTCCTTCCGTAGTGATACCACCTTGGCAACCCAAGGAGGGGTCGCTATGAGTCAGGGCCAACTCGATGGCACACAACAACAACAACATGTTGTTAAGAAGCCCTGGGGTGCAGTGGTTAAGCACTCGGCGGCTAACTGAAAGGTCAGCAGTTTGATTCCATGGGAGAAAGATGTGGCAGTCTGCCTCCATAAAGATTTACAGCCTTAGTGGGGCAGTTCTACTGTGTCCTGTAGGGTTGCTAGGAGTTGGAATTTGTTTTTTTGGGTATATTGTTGTGTGCCATCTATATACCACCATTTTAAGATTTAGATTTTAAAAGTGTCCATCTATATACTATTTCAGTTATTACTGAATTCTTGGTACTTATAGTATACTTTGGGAAACTGCTGAAGGATTCTGCTTATATTTTATGAATCCTGTGTGGTCACCTTTGAGCTGGCAAATCTGTTAAAAGCTTGAGTTCTTTGCTGTATACAGAGTTCATTTTCTGCCTTTTCACCTTTTGGAAATTGAGGAGCTGCTCTCTGTGTCCCTGTTTCAGCACCCTCTCATCTGAGGGTCACTGAGGTTCAAATGAATGAGACACTTACCACATTTTCCTTACTGCTTTTGTTGTTTCCTTCTTTAGGTTCAGCGTCCTGTCCCTCTGACACCAGCCAACCCCAGCATGCCACCCCTGCCACAGGGCTCACTTACTCAAGAAGAGCTCATGGTCTCCATGGTAACTGGCCTGGCCTCCTTGACGTCCAGGACCTCCATGGGGATTCTCGTTGTTGGAGGAGTGGTTAGTGACAAACCCTACCTGGGGAGGGTGGGAGGCAGGGGAGTGGGGACTGAGGAGGCCAGTCTGGTGGTGGTCCCTCCGTTGACCCAGCACTTAACAGTGAGTTCCCTGGGTTCTAGTGGAGACCTGTGCAGCCTTAGCCATTTAATGTTCATTTATTTACTCACTTAAAAGCCTCACTCAACATAATTTAGGTAGCACTGTTCCTGCTTCACGGATGAGGAAAAATTCTAGGATAAGTGATTTGCAGGAGATGCACAGCTAAGATTGGACCTGTGGCCCCATGTGCCTTCAAGCCCATGGCCTTTCCCCTATAGGGCTTGTACTACTCAGATGGGTAGGAAATGACCATAGGAATTAGTACACCTGGGTTCTAGAGAGGTGGGCATGACGGGGTTTTCCGTTGGTAGGTGAAGAAATCAAGAACGTGACTTGGAAGGGTAGAAGCCAAAAGAGGTCAGGATAGGACTTGAACCTTCATTCTTCCATCTTCTCTTCCATCTCCATCTGCTGCCTTTCCTTCCCACCTGGAGGCCTGAGGTGACAGGCTGCCTTGATAATTGGGATGCTTCCCGTGTCCTGACTGCAGCTCACATTGTCTTCATGATGTGGCAAGTTCTCTTTCTTAAAGAAGTTTGCATTGTAGAGTGTGACTGTACAGAATGTAGCTATAGTGAAAATGGCCAGGAATTGCATTCCCAGTGTGTGGGGCTGGGGTGAGGACAGAGCCAAAGCATATGCACTGATCTTTTGTCACACACAATGATCTGGCAGAGGGTCATTGGCTGACCTGGTGACTCTCTCCTTTTTTTTTTTTTTTTTTACTTCTATTGTGAAAACACACAGGAAGACATTTGCCAACATACCAACTTCCACGTTGACAGCTCAGGGACATTATTGCTATCCTTTTCCAAAATACTCTACCACCATTAGCATAAATTAAATGACTTGCAAACAGAAGCTTCCCCTTTCGCTCCTCCTTCTTACCCCTGGTAACCACGAATAATCTTTGGTTTCTATATATACATATTTTATTTTTTCCAATTTAGCTACACCTCCCACCCATCCCTGTTGTTGTTAGGTGCCATCAAATTGTCTCTGACTCATAGCTACCCTGTGTACAACAGAATGAAACACTGCCCAGTCCTGTGCCAGCCTCAATACTTGCTTTGCCTGAGCCCATCTTTGCAGCCATAGTATTAGTCCAACTCATTGAGGGCTTTCCCCTTTTCCATTGACCCTCCACTTTACTATGTATGATACCCTTCTCCAGGGAATGGTCCCTTCTGACAACATGACCAAAGTAGGTTAGATGATGTTTGGCCATTCTCGCTTCCAAGGAACATTCTAGCTGCACTTTTTCCAGAACAAATTTGTTCTTTCGGCAGTCCATGGTATTTTCACTATTCTTTGCCAACACCACAACTCAAAGGCAACTCTTCTTTGGTCTTGCTTATTCATTGTCCAGCTCTCACATGCATATGAGGTGATTGAAAATACCATGGCTTGGGTTAGGTGCACCTTAGTCTTCAAAGAGACATCTTTGCTCTTCAGCACTTGAAAGAGGTCATTTGCAGCAGATTTGCCCAGTGCAGTACATCATCTGATAGCTTGCCTAGCTTCCATTGGTGTTGATTACGGAACCAAATAATAAGAAATCTTTGACAACTTCAATCTTTTCTCCATTTATTGTGATGCTGCTTATTGGCCTAGTTGTGAGGATTTTCATTTTCTTTATGTGGAGGTGTAATCCATACTGCAGAGTGTAGTATTTAATCTTCATCAGTAAGTGCTCTAAGTCATTCTCACTTTCAACAAGCAAACTTGTCATCTACATATTGCAAGTTGTTAATGAGTCTTCTTCCAGTCTTGATATCGTGCTCTTCTTCATATAGTCCAGCTTCTTGTATTACTTGCTCAGCATACAGACTGAGTAACTATGGTGAAAGGATACAACCCTTATGCACTCCCTTCTTGATTGTAAACCATGCAGTATCCCCTTGTTCTTTTTGAACAATAGCCTCCTGGTCTATGTACAGATTCCTCATAAGCACAATTAAGTGTTCTAGAATTCCCATTCTTCTCGGTGTTATCCATAATTTGTTGTGATGCACACAGTTGAATGCTTTTGCATAGTCAATAAAACACAAGTAAACATCTTTCTGGTATTGTTTGCTTTCAACCAAGATCCATCTGACATCAGCAATGATACCCTTCGTTCCACGTCCTCTTCTGAGTCCAGCTTGCACCTCTGGAAGTTCTCTGTCAATATACTGCTACAACCATTTTTGCATTATCTTCAGCAAGATTTTACTTGCATGTGATATTAATAATGTTCAATAATTTCTACATTCTGTGGGATCACCTTTCTTTAGAATGGGTACAAATATGGATCTGTCCCAGTCAGTTGGCTAGGTAGCTATCTTCCCAATTTCTTGGCATAGACGAGTTA